CCCCTGTCCCCCGTCTGGCTTTGTCGGGGGGGGGGGGGCAAAATCAGGCTTAGGAGAAGGCATGGGTAGGTACAGGCGGTCAGGGAGGTCCCTGGGGCAGGTTTGCAGCGATGACACCAGTTCCCATGTTGGCATTCTGCGGGTGCCAGCCAGAGCCCGGCCCAGCCCTTTACGTGTGAGCGCTGCTGGCTGCGGCGGGTTTATTTTTAGTCCTGCGAGCACTTGCTCCATCCCCTGTGAAACCATCTGCTGCCTCCAGCTGGGCTGGTCTGTGGGCTTTGAGTCAACAAAGCAACCCCCCATCCCCAAGTTTTCCTTCTGGCTGCAAACCGGGTTGTTTTTCATGCTCGTCTTCTGCCTCCTGCCCCCATGTCTTCTCCCTGCCCTCCCACAAGTGTTTTGGATGAGAAGTTTTGAGCGGGGTCTGATCCTTCCCTCGGCTTCGTCCTTCAATCCGGGCAGAATACCAGAGTGTTGGGAGGGGACTCGCTGGGATGTGACCCGGGGATGCTCCCAAGGGTGCCCAGGCCCCAGTGCAGGGTGGGGGTACCACCTGCTTATCAGGCTTAAGATGAAAACTTGAGCGTAATTACATTGAGTTACTAATTAGCAGTGGACATGGAAGCTCTGCTGAGTCAAAGCGAAGATGCTGAGAAAAGCACTTTGTGAGGACCGGCTCGGCTGCAAACCGGGTACAGTCCAGGTGCTGGGTGAGAAGCCTTCACCTGCAGGAGCCACATGGTCAATGGTTTGGGGCTGCCCCAGCTGTGTCTGGAGAAACCCAGCAAGCCCAGAAGGACACGGCGTGTGAGTCCACCTTGGTGGGGTCTCCCCAGAAATGAGACTGCCTTGCTTGGGATTTGCTGTCCCAGACTCTCTGTGCACACGCATCGTGGGCAGCATCCAGAGTTCGAATGGCAGAGGTCCGGGCAGCCAGGCTTGCAAAAAATGCCGACAGGCTCCATCGTGATGCCTGGGAACCGGGTCCATCAGCGCTGGCATCGCTTTGACCTCCTGTGCTATGCCAGCCTGAAATGCTCATCTGTTCTCAGGCTCTGCGGTCCTCCCTGCCCCCGCCTCCCCCTGGGCTTTGCTGCAAGTCCTGGCAAGACGAGCCCAGGAAGTCCCAGAAAAATGAGGAGAAAATGGCTGGGGACCAAAGACTTACGCAGAGGGGACGGAGATGCAAAATACAAAACTTTTCTTGCGGAGAAAGCTCCGGGCTTTCTGCTGGTGAACCATCACCGTGGCAAGCGTGCGGGCTCTGCAGCAGTGGCAGGAGAAGGAGGAGGTGGTGCCCACCAAGTTGTTTTCTGGAGCTGTGAGTGCAGAGCTCTTGGCCCAGACTTCAGCGAGAAGTGCAACAAAAGAAAGCCCAGTTATTTTCCTGAAATTTTTGTAACAATTCAGGTCCAACGCTGTTTTTCTGCTGAAATAAGTGTGACGGGGTTTTTTGCAGCTACCAGTAAGCTGAATCCTAGTAGGCATTTGCTGGGACTCTCCAGGACATCAGTGCCAGGGCAATCAAGAGGATCTGGGATGCCTGAAAAAGCCTTCCTTCCAATCACTTCCTCACCACCGCTCTCCAGACCTTCCCTGTGAGGAGGCAAATTAACGATCCTTAAAGTTACGTCTTTTATCAGGCAATCAGTGCTCCTCTCGGCAGGGAGGGGTGTTCATCAACAGTGGCACGTGTCCTTGCGCCAAGATAAACACCACATCAGATGGTGAAGATGTCTTTGCACGCAGAAGGTGACGTGCACCTGTGCTGCAAGCATGAATTTTGGATGGCTTGCAGTTCTATCACTGATATGGATGGACAGGCTGGGGAAACACAGGAAGATGGAGATAATCCCCTGCTCCATGTCTACATGGCACCTAAAGACCAAATGGGGCTTTGGAGGTACCGCACAGCTCCAGTGGGATGTTCCCAGGGAACCACTGAGTTCCCACAGCTCCTGTTTTTTCCCAGGAGAATGGGAGTGCCGGGGGCACGCGAGAAGGGAGCTTTTGGAGGCAGCTCATCCTTGGGTTTTGAAGCTCGTTTATTCAGCATCTCCTTATAGCCTTCACAAATGGATGCTGCTAAGTACAGAGACGTGACCACGCTGGAGCTCGGTTATTTACAGCTCACTGCAGCTGACTTACTCCGCCTCTGTCAGCAGGGCTGACGGGGGAAGGAAAACCTTCTGGAATGAGAGCCAGGAGATAGTAAAATGCCTCCCTGCTTTTTTCCCCCTGTTGTTACAAACCCTGAGCCCATCCCAGCCTGATGTGTCAATAAATGAGCGTTTGGGGGAAATCTGGGAAGCAACAGGGAAACATCTGTGGGTTTAGGTGGTTACCATGTGGAAATGTGGCAGGAGCTTCTCCTCACGTTGGCCTTAAAATACGCATTTAAAGCTAAAGCCAATTCTTCCCAGCCAGCTAATAACAGAAGAGCTTTTTGGCCTTGCAGTGCCCGGCTCTATCCTCGCAGCATTTACACAGCAGGCTCTGTTGAGCCTTGCCCCTCTTGGATGCTCTTTGCCTTTGATGTGTAAAACAAAAGAGCCCTTCACGACGCCGAAAATCAAATGTCCCTGTGAAATGTCTTGGTCACCGGCTGATGGGTCTGGTTTCCTCAGTCCTCCAGGGAAAAGGATTTGCAGACAGACCCCACGTGTAGGTATGGGAGATGCAGTGGGAGAGACGTCTTCCAGGAGCACGGTCTCTGCACCACTCCTTGGGGTTACCAAGCCAGGCCTTGGCTGTCAGCAGGTCCTCGTGGGGAAGGCACAGCTCCTGGAGAACATTGTGAAGAGCTGCTGAGGGGCAAAAGGAAAGTGGCTGACATGCCTGCAAAGCACCTTTGGAGCTGGGACAAGAGGCAGGAACAAAGTGCAAGCGTATGAACCACGCGCTCGAGGATGACGAAGCCCGTGCGCTGGCTCCCTCCTGGCTGTCCACACCGGTACTCGGCCCGTGGCCACGTCCAGCCCAGCAGCGTCTTCTGAGCTGCTTTGATTGGCACGTGCTTAAAGCTCCCTGGGTTTTTGTTTTCACTCGGTTTGGGTTGTTTTTTTCTTTTAATAGTGGGGCTCGTTTTCATGCTGGCTACCAGATCGACGTGGCTGGCAGTGACTCGGTTTGCGGTTCTCAGCTGCTTTGTCCCTGTGGTTTATTTCGTGTTTCTCCTCTTCCCACCCAAGGTGGAGCTGCCTGTTAAGGTTTTTTCCTCCAGGTCTGTTTTGCAGGGGCAGCTGCATGGTCGTCAGGAAATGTTTGGGCATCTCTGAGGACAGTTGTTTTTGTGGTACAAGTGATGACTTGTCTCTAGGCTCGTCCGTGATAATTGGGAGCGGGGAGGAGCGGAGCCAGGCGAAGGGCAGCCTGGCCCTGTGTGGTAACTTCTGCTTCTCGTGCCGTATCGCTCTTGAGTATCTTCTGTGGCTTTGTCTTATGCAATTTCTCTCTGCACTTTGCGTGTCTCACGCATTTCTGCCTGGCTCCCTTTCCTCCTTTTCTCCTCAAGCCCCTCGGCCGGTCGTCCAGCTGCTCTCTAATCCGCTCACTCCCCTGCTCTCCTGTCTCCCCTTAGCCAGCTCTCCCTGCTCCGCACTCGACGCGTTCGCTGGCGGTGCTTCCTCTGCGAGCTGTTTGTCTGGCTGTGCAACGGGTGCCACGTTGGCGGGGCGCGTGTCCTTCACAGTCCGGTCTTCACCGAGGGGTGACCCCTCGGGGCAGCACCTGAACCTCCCGCAGGTGCTGCTGCTCGCTCAGCCGTGTCGCCCGTTCACTTGGTTTCATCCGGATTTGAAGGGGTGGGGAGGGGAGAAAAGCTTCCCAGCAGTCAATCATCCCTCAGCCTGTCTGGATTGATATTCACAGTCCGGCTCTCACATAAAAGTACTGCGTAGGATGCTGGGACCTAAGTGCTCTGAGGATTTGGGGGCTGCAGAGGGACTGGTCAAGGAGGGCATCCCCCGGGCAGGGGCCACCGGCAGTGTCCCATGGCTTTCACACGCAGACTGCTAAGTAGCTAAATTCTGTTTTGCTAAAAAATAAGACAAAAATAAAAATAAAGCCCCACTCTTTTGCACAGAGTTATTCACGCGTAGCAAAAAAATAGAGCTGGTATGCGATGCCTGCCTGCAATGTACTCCGGGAGCTGCAGAGGCACCGGCTGGCACTGTGGGACCAAGGGAAGCATTATTTATAGCCAGGCTCAGTAAACCATTCCTCCGAAGGTTTTTTCCCTTCGAGCCTGCTCCCTCTTCCCTTTGTAGCACTACTGGCCTTTTCCCTTCCCGTTCGGTAGCAACACCGCACTAATTGCGCACGAACTCGCAGTGAAGTAAGCAGCATCTGTCTCTTCCTCCTCTGCTCCCCAGCCAGAAGCCCCGTGCAGCAGGAACGCCCACCCAGACGCGAATTAAGTCAGCACCGTGCAGCCGGAGGTGAATTTCACCACGCTTGGCCCTGCGCTCCGTCAGAGACGGGTGTTTGTTTCCAAGTGTGGCACCGTGCAGATAATTTTTGAGGGGTCCTTTGCTCGGCAGCCACAGAGATTTGGCTGGAGCCGTGGGGTTATTCCCCAACTACCCCCACAGCCTTACGCTGTCTGTAAACTGGAGGACTGGGAATTTGAAGGCCAAAGACGTCTGTCAAGTGATCAGCAGAGAATGACCCTGCGTCTTTACGTATTTATGACTTAGCTGGCATGTTTTGAATAATTGATTTATCTAGCGTCAAGCACTTGGGAGGGTAACAGAGGATGGTGCTGTAGGGTCAGAGGGGTGTGAAGAGGGAGACAAAACCCTGAGAAGGAGGTTATGAAGTTCATCAAGAGTGGGGTTGCTTTGATGTCCACCTTTGCTTTGGCAGATGCCCTCTGTGTGAAAAGCTGCGGGGAGGGGGCACGGTGGGGGGCAAGGGGCTGTTGCTGGGCCACAACCCACCATGGCAGAGCCTAACCCCACTCGCTTCTTGCCTGTCTTCCAGCCCATCACTTCATCGCGGCGACGGCGTGCCAGGAGGCGGACTACGGCTGGATGATCCGGCACTACTGCCTGAAGCAGTTCCAGCTCAGCATGGAGGGCATTGGCCAACGGCTCTGGTGTGACTGGGACGAGACCATGGGGTAAGTGAGGTCCCTCTGCTCACTCCTCCCTTCCTGGGACCAACTGCACCCATCTTTTTTGGGGTGTAGGGAGGTCAGCGGTGAGTTTTATTTTATGGGAGGGAACAAACGTGCCATTTCACTCCGCTTTGCAAGTGTTGATAATGCCCTGGCTCTCTCCCTGCCGGGTCCAGCTGAAGTGGCTTCCCCATCCTGGTCACTTGTGGAGGGGCCATGAGGTGGATTTGGAGAGGAGAGCAGTGGACGTTGTCTACCTGGACTTCAGTGAGGCTTTTGACACTGTTTCCCATAAGATCCTCACAGAGAAGCTGATGAAGTGTGGGCCAGATGAGCAGACAGCGAGGTGGGTTGAAAACTGGCTGAGTGGCCAGGCCCAGAGGATAGTGATCACTGGACAAAGACTAGCTGGAGCCTAGCAACTAGTGGTGAACGCCAGGGATCAGTGCTGGGTCCAGACCTGCTTAACCTCTTCATTAATGGTCTGGGTGGTGGGGCAGAGTGTACCCTCAGCAAGTTTGCAGGTGACACCAAGCTGGGAGGAGTGGGTGACCCACCAGAAGGTCATGCTGCCAGCCAGAGGGACCTCAGCAGGCTGGCGAAAAGGGCTGAACGGAACCTCATGAAGTTCAACAAGGAGAAGTGCAAAGTCCTGCACCTGCAGAGGAACAACCCCAGGCACCAGGACATGCTGGGGGCCGCCCAGCTGGGGAGCAGCTCGGCAGAAAAGGCCTTGGGGGTCCTGGTGGACACCAGGTTGACCACGAGCCAGAAGCGTGCCCTTGTGCCAAAGAAGGTGAATGGTATCCAGGGCTGCATTAGGAGAAGCATTTCCAGCAGGTCGAGGGAGGTGATCCCTCCCCTCTGCTCAGCACAGGTGAGGCCACCCCTGGAGCGCAAGGTCTAGTTCTGGGCTCCCCAGTGCAAGAGAGACATGGACAGACTGGAGAGAGTCCAACGAAGGGCTGTGAAGATGATGAAGGGTCTGGAGCATCTCTCCTACAAGGGGCGGCTGAGAGAGCTGGGGCTGTTCAGCCTGGAGAAGACAAGTATCAGGGGGGTCATATTAAGCCATACAAATATCTGAAGGGAGGGTGCGAAGAGCGTGGTGGTGCCCAGTGACACGAGCAGAGGCAATGGGTACAAACTTAAGTGCGGGAGGTTCTCTCTGAACATCAGGAGACACTTTTTCACTGTGAGGGTGACCGAGCACTGGCACAGGTTGCTCAGGAAGGTTGTGGAGTCTCCATCCTTGGAGATACTCAAAAACCATCTGGACATGGTCATGAGCAACCAGCTCTAGGTGTCCCCATTTGAGCAGATGCGTTTGGACAAGATGAGGTGGATCTCCCAAGGGCCTCTCCAACCTCATCCATTCTGTGAGTAAATGGGCTTTCAAGAAGCCCATCCTAAGCAGTGTTTGGAAATCAGGAGGGTGATCTTGCTCAATACAGTTATGTATGTGTGCAGATACCACATACCCCAGTAGTGGAGCTTCAGTAAGAAAAGACCAAGGCTGTCTACTACAGCCTAGGTATTGATGTGTTAATAAGGCAGTAGATTGGGATCCCTGTCACGGCTCCATTACCTCTTCTGGCGACTCACTGCTTGATGGATCTATTTTCCATGAGATTTTTTGCAGCACTCAGGTTCTCCAGACCATCCAAAATGCCCTAACTCTGCTTGAAAACCCCATCTAAGATGCCCTCAGACCCTCTCTGTGAAAAAATCCCAGGCTGTCCCAGCAGACCTGCTGGCTCGCCTGCTGCTTCCAAAAGTTGCCTGCTGATTTTTATTAGCAACAAGAGGGAGAAGCTGGCACGGTATGGCATGGCAGTCTTCTGCTAAGCCTCCTGTTTGTAATCAGTGTCAGGGAATTAGCGGTGATTTATGACTCAGGAGAAGCAGAGATGCAGTCTGATTTCCTGGTGGAGCACTTGACAGCATCCTTGGGGGGGATAATGAAGGTGATAAGGGAACCCTACGTAAAGCAGCAGTGTCAGGGAGAGGAGGGGTTTTGCATACAGGGAACGTGCTGCTCTGTGGAGAGTATTTTTGCCCTTTTTTTTATTTCTTTTTTTTTTTTTTTTTTATTGCAAACTATCTGAATGGTTCTATCTTTGGATTGGCTCTTTCCTTTTTATAATCAGCAGAGCTGAATTTTTCGATGCCGTCATGGTGTAAATCATTCTCCTGGTGAAGTGGTTTTGATTGAGGTTGCAAAGACTGGTCAGGAGTGGCCATGTGTTGGCATGAGGGCCTGAACAGAGAAAATAACCCGTTCTCTACTCTGAGCTGGCTTTCCACATCACACAGCGCTGCTGTGCCATGGCCTTCCTCCGGGAAAGCAAAGCGGCGGAGAAAAATGAGCTCTTGTGACACAAGGAGGGGATGGAGGTCAGTTGGATGTGGTGAGCAGATGTTGCCATATGCCATGAGCGTTTTGCACAAAAATTAGAGTTTCTATAACATTTTGGTTGATTACCTGCTTCATACCCCTTTCTTGATGCCAAGTGAAGAGCTATATGTGTGTATGTAAACAGACATACGTAGAGAGAGACAGCTTTTGAAAAGGACAGCTTGGGTGTTCCTTCCTCTTTATCGGTAACAAAATGGAGGGGGGAAAAAAGAGAGTGGAAAGACTGTGGGATGTTTTCTGGCTCCGAGAAACCTCATCTGGTCCTCAAAAATGTCCAGGGCTGCTGCCATTGCTCCAGCCCCTGGCCGCCTTGGAGGTCTCCATGGGACCTGTCCCACTCTGTTGGCACCTTTGGAGGCAGCATCTAGATGTGGTCCAGATGGGGTGAGTGGCAGGAGAAGGGGATAATCGCCTCCCTGGTGTCCCCTGGCTGTGCTGGCGGTGATCTCCCACCCCTGGGGAGATCCCAGCAGAGAGGTCCCCAACCCAGGCTGTCCCCTCACAGGGGCTGAGTGTGTCGCAGCAGCAGGACTTCGGTTTTGGTCCTGGTCCGGTGCTATTTGCAAACTTGATGAGATGCAATCCATCTCCTCCTCCAGGCCTTCGTCAAAGCCATTGCACAGGAAGCAGAGGTGTAATTAAAGAGCTTGTGCTTTATCTCTGACTTCCTGTTTTTCTTCTAAATAGCTTCTTCTAAACTTGTTATCCTTGAGGCACTTGGAGGCAATGTTGATAAGCTTGCAGTGGGTAATTTCATTGCGTGAGTCCATTTGCTCCGTGCTAACACAAGGCTTGGGGTTATTTAAGAGATGACATTCCTCTGATCCTCCTGTGCACCCGGGACATTGGGAAAATCAGGTAGAAATAGCTCAGCTACTGCTGTAAGGAAACTGCTCTGCAAGAATATGGGTTTTGAGTGGCCACCTCGCTCAACACCCCTGCTCCCTGGGTGTTCACAGGACTCGCCATCCCCTTTTAGGAGAAGAAGTGCTGTTAGGAGATGTCCCAGCAGGAGCGGGCAGGGGGTGGCACAGGCTGCCTGATTGCCCCTTTGGCTTTAGGGGGAAAGACTTGACTTCCACCAGGGGTGAAACGAAGAAATGGAAATAAAACACCTGCCCGAAGCCTGTTTCCTCTCCGTATCTTCTCCCAAACCAAGGAATTTTGATGCTTGAAACCTGTCTAAAACGAGAAGGAGAAATATTTGAAGGTTTTGCCTCTGACAGGACCCGTACCGTCAGCAGCATCGGGTTTGGAGCTGTGATTTCTCACATGCGGCATTTAGCAGTGAAATGCCCGCCAGCCCATCAGTTACTGCTCTACTGAGAATGACATGATGGGAACATCTGGATAAATGGATTGTCTCAGCAGAGTTTGTAATTGTCGTTGACTGGTCCTGTTGTTAGGCTGCAGATTATCCTCCCACTGTACCCTCAGAGGTATTAACCGAGCTCTTGCAGCACTGGTACCGCTGCGTCCAGATGTAACGGAGGGGTCTCTCTGGACCAGGAGGGTTTGCTGAGGTTGGGCTTGGGCCATGTGAACAAGCGCCAACTCTCTTGAGAAGGTTTGTCCAACAGCGTTGAGCTCTGCTGGCTTTCTTAGCCATGCTCGTCTGGGGAAAGTTGATGGTTTTTGATGTGCAAGTCTTTATCGTGTACCAGGGAAACTTGTGTGAGCTCTTACATGCTTCCAGAATGAGATGCCAGGTGGTTTTTCATAAAATAATTAATTCCAGAAGTTGGCCATGAACACTCTCTCCTGGGAAGGGAGAAGAACTGCTGAGAGGTGTTTTCCCTTGGGTCATCTGGTTTCCTTCCCTTGCTTCCTCCCCGAAGGACGAGCCATCCGATGTGACCTCGGATGCTTCTGCTGGAGCCGTGCGTGCCGGTGCCTGCTGGGTCAGCTGCCCATCTGCTCACTCGCGTGCTGCAAGCTGGTCTCTCCAGCCCCTCCATGACGTTGCCCCGTGGATCCCTGGCCTGAGAGCAACTTAGACCAAGCACCCCGGTATTTTGTCTTGCAGGGCTTGCAGGCACCCCCTTGTTTAAAGCTGGAGCCGCATTGTGGTCCCCTCTGCTTCATGGTGGTGGCCGTGCTGCTTTGACCGGGAGCTCAGCTGTGCATGACTAATTATCCTGAAGATCAACTTGGCTATTTTGATTCCAGGTCCGGGTTCATCAGCGTGGCGACTGAGCCAGGGGATTAGCTGTGGTCTCCCTCTGGGCAGCTATTTTGGGGATGTGGAGTGCTGCTGGCAGAGCTGGGGCTGCTGGAGGGGGCCAGGCTCACCCACGAATGCATCACCAGAAGCCGATGACTCCTAGATATTTTTTCTGCACGGTTTCGTCTCGCTGTCGGGCCATGGCCGGGGGACGGCTTTGCACAGCAGTTTTTGCGCAGTGTTGGTGCGCCGGGCAGCAGCGACCGGGACAGGGAGATGCTTGCTGCGCTGAGTGGTGTCCCAGCTGCGGGTGTCACTCCAGTCGAGCCAGGAGCCTTCATCCCAAATATATCCACCCCGTGGCATGCCTAGAAATCCCCACGGAATGCTTTCCCCCCGCCGCGGGCATCCTGCGGGGAAGGAG